ATTGTTGAACGATAGAGTTCGTTTAAAACACTACCTATTTCTTCTTTTTTTAATCAGCAAATTTGTTTCAATTTAGATAGCGTTGCTGCTTTGTAAAATACAATGATTCGTTCTTCAACAGGTATCCTTCGTTATTTTGTGAACATGCCCCAAATTTTTTCAAACTCATCTTCTGATTTAGCAGAGGATCATTTTTGGAGTATTGTTAATTCTGAGTCTGATGAAGAACTGGAAAGTTTAGAATTGGTTGCTTTACAAAATGAATAAGAAAACATAGAGACAGGAATGAGAAAACATCGTGGTTCCATAAAAGGTCATGCATATATCAATAGAAGATGACTCGATGGGCACCAAAGACTCTATAATGATTATTTTGATGAACATCCAATGTACTCTTCAACTCAATTTTGAAGGAGATTTCAGATGCGTCGACCTCTTTTCCTTCGAATTTTAAGTGCGGTAGAAGCCTATGACTCATGCTTTGCTCAAACAAGGATCGATCGGGTCGTTTTGGTTTATCACGTCTACAAAAGGTCACTGCTGCTATGAGGATGCTTGCTTATAAAGTTGCTGCAGAGGTGATGATTATTGAGTTGGATTTTTATTTCTTCTATTTTCAATTAAGGGGTTGTATTTTATTGGATTATTTGTATTAGTATTAATTAATATGACTTTTATTATGAATTATTTATCTGTAAAATTTAAAGTATAAGATAGAAATTAAGAAAAAAAAAATGTAATAAAATAATAGTTTAATTTCACATATCGAGTGGAGAGCAAAACATGAAAATATGTCAAAATGCCACATAAGTTGTCAAATTTAAATTTTAGATTCAAAATTTGAAATCTCCTTTAAAGATGAACTTAGTAGTTAAAAGCTCATTACATTGCTCCCTAGGTAATAAAATTAAAAAAAATTCAAGGGCAATTGACTGGACAACCTATTACTCCCGGTAAAATCATCCCTTTTGTCCAATCATAACTCACAGACGTGTGTTATGACCGGCATTTCTGGGTTTCTCGTTTACAACGCTGGTTCGCCACTTGGACTCCACCCCTGCTGGCTCTAGCTATAAATTCACTTGACTAGACTCCTGTCCTTTCAATCAACGGACATAGATAAAAAAAAAATAGGAGAAATTAGGTTCTCATCCCTCTTTTTGCTACTTCATTGATTAAAACCTTATTTTTTTTTCAATTTTTGATCAAGGTCCTTGGATATTAATAACATAATTAATTATTTTAATAATAAAATATTTTTTATTTCTAAATATATTCATTTAGTGTTATGTTATAATTAGTATATTTATATTTATGGCTAAATTTATATCATATATTTTTATTTTTAGTTTATACCCATTTTTAATTTGCAACCATTTTTTAATTTATACCAATTTTCTTTTTAATTTTAATTTGTACCTATATATTAATTTCCTTTTGTGCCCATATTTTAAAAAGTTTTATTTGTATTTGTACCCATATATTTTTTATTTATTTGTACTCATTTTTTATTTTGCTAAATGTACTCATTTTTTAATCCATGTTTAAACTTATATGGGTACATTCTTTTTCGTTGATTTGAGAATGTATCCATGTTTTGGTACAATAATTTTTTTTGTTAATTTTGGTTAATGTACCCATACATATGTGTATATATATACACACACACACACACACAATATAATAGAGAGAATAATTTATATTTTATTATTTTTAATCCCATAAATTATGGGTTTTATTTAAAATCTCATTAATATAAACAATTAAAATTTTCAATTTTTAATTTTTAATTAAAAAAATATAGTAACTTACATTATTACATTAATATCAGGGACCTCAATCAAAAACTAAAAACTAACAAGGTTTCAATCAAAGAATATTGATAGATAGGGACTGCATCCAAAGTGTCCCTATATAAAATAAGAGTTGGTTTTCTGATTTTTTTTTTTCATTTTCTTATTTGTTTATGGAATTTTATTGCATGCATGTCTATTTCTCTTCAAAATTTAGTGACCCAAATTTATTCTCTTCCTCTCTCCCATTTTTCCCAAATATAGTTTTTTCCAAGGCCGATCTCAAAGTTTTTGCATTCGACCCTGCATTTGGTGGTCTTTTGCATTTAATTTTGTGTTTGTCTCAACTCCTTATGTGCTGAACTATTGATATCATAGACATATCTCTAATCTTTCTAAGATTTTCATTGTTTTGTCAAGATTTTAACACAATTTTTTTCGTGGACAATTTTCCATGCTTGATACAGTTTGTGTGTGTTCGTGTTTTTTTATTTATTTGTGTGTCGATTTTTGGAGGAAGTCAAATGTATTTCTTCCCTGTCATACTGAAATTAAATTTTCTGTTATTTTTTACATTATTTTGCTCTATTGCTACCATTATTTTTTTTTTTTTTAGAACTTTAAAGAAAAGAGTTTGAGTTAAGTTTATTTTAATAAAAATCCATATAACAATTTTATTTAATGTAAAGGGCTTGAAATTTAATCAAAATGGACAAAAACTAAATACTAATGAAAAAACAAGCTCATGTGCAAAACCAAATTTTTTTTTTCCAGGCGCTACCCCTGACGGAAGCCCCATTCCATCAGTTAATGCCACTACCTTACCCATTAAACATGAAAGTGATGATGGAGGATACGAAAGCCATTAGCATACATGCTGCAAATCCACGTGTCAAAGCCCCACCAATTTGAAAGCAAAATCTTTGAAAATCTTGCTTTCAACAAATATAAGCAGCATGTATATATGTCACACCAAATGTGAAGTACACTGCTATCTGTTCAACAAATTTTTTAGCTTTTGTTATCATGAAACAAACTTTTCGTTGGTATGCTCCAGTAAATTAATGCACAGTAAATAAACAATCGAATAGACGCTTTGTGTTTTTGTAAAAATTAGGTAGAGGAAATCTAAAAAACATCCCTTAGATGCTTTTTGTACTCAAATTCAAATCTAAAACCATAACAAAACACCAAAATTTATAAAAGATAATCTATTTCGAAAGAAATCTATAAATATGCTCTGATTGGAAGTATCATGAATTTTTTGAGGTAAATTGTATGATATAATTGGTCTTTTAGAGTGATCATTAGTGGTTTTTTTTTTCAGATCAAGAAATAGTTCGGTTCTAGAAAACTTAGTTTTTGCACTACTTCTCTATAAAAACCTGGTTCGTTAACTGCGTGTTTTCTTCTCTTTCAGAAATAGTGGGGATTATTTTGGTTCTGTTTCGTAAATAGTGTGTAATTTTGCAGTAGTTCCATAAATAGTGTTAGTTATTTGGTTCAATTTTAGAAATAGTGCAGGTTATGTTGTTGTATTTTAAAAAATAGTGTTTTTCGTTCACTTCCAGAAATAATACGGATTATTTTAGTTCAGTTTAAAAAATATTGTGAGTTATTTTAATTCAGTTTCAGAAATAGTGTGAGTTATTTTGATGACTTTCAGAAATAGTGTGTAATTTTGTTCTCTTCCAGAAATAATGTAGGCTATTTTGGTTTAGTTTCAGAAATAGTATTTGTTATTTTGTTTTAGTTCTAGAAATACTTTATTCCCTTCCATAAATAGTGTAATTTATTTTAGTTCAATTTTAAAAATTATTTTGTTATTTTGTTGTAATTTCAGAAATAGTGTTTATTTTGTTTCCTTAAATAGTGTGAGTTATTTTAGTTCAATTTCAGAAATAATGTGCTATTTTGCTGTAGTTCCAGAAAGTGTCGGTTATTTTGCTATTGTTATAACAATAATATTTATTTTTTCTATTCCATAAATAGTGTGTTGTTTTGGTTCATTTTTAGAATTAGTGAGTAATTTAACAATTGCTCCAGAAATAGTATAGGTTATTTTTGTTCAGTTTCAGAAATAGTGTGGGTTATAATTCTGTAATATCAGAAATAGTGTGAGTTATTTTGGTTTACTTTCAGAAATAGTGTCGGTTATTATATTATAGTTCCAGAAATAATATGGGTTATTATGTTGTAGTTTCAGAAATAGGGTCAGTTATTTTGGTTTATTTTCAGAATTAGTATGGGTAATTTTACTGTAGTTTTAGAAATAGTGTGAGTTATTTTGGTTCAGTTAAAAAAAAAAGTGTGGTTTATAATTTTTTAATTCCAGAAATAGTGTGAGTTATTTTGGTTCACTTTCAGAAATAGTGTGGGTTATTATGAAGTAGTTCTAAAAATAATATGAATTTTGTAGTTCCAGAAATAATGTGAGTTATTTTGGTTCACTTTTACAAATTGTGTGGGTTATTATGTTGTAGTTCCTGAAATAATATAGGTTATTATGATGTAGTTTCAGAAATAGTAGTTATTTTGGTTTACATTTTAGAAATAGTGTGAGTTATTATCTTGTAGATCCATAAATAGTATGAGTTATTATGATGTAGTTCCAGAAATAATGTAGGTTATTTTGATTCACTTTCAAAAATATTGTACGTTATTATACAATAGTTTCAAAAATAATGTTAGTTATTTTGGCTCACTTTAAAAAATAATGTGAGTTATTTTTTGAAGTTCAAGAAATAGTGGTTCACTTTCAACAATAGTGTGGGTTATTTTGTGATAGTTCAAGAAATAGTGTTTATTTTGGTCCCTTCCATAAACAATATGAGTTGTTTTGATTAGATTTCATAAATAGTGTGAGTTTTTTTTTTTTTTTTTTTTTGTAGTTCCAGAAATAGTATGAGTTATTTTGGGGTTTTTAGCTTAATTGCTCACAAGCTCAAATATCATTTGATATAATTACAAGAAACTTCGGGAACTAGACATAAATTTCTCTAAAATTTTCCACCAATAACACATTTGCGCCATCGTAATTTTCAAGAATGCACAATGGTTTAGCAAAACCTCTCAAACACTCGACGAAATAAGAACAATCTCATCAATGCATCAATGCATCAATACACATGTTACATAAAAAAGAGGAAGATACAAGAGAGTCTGCATATTCAAGATGAAATATGAAGAGAGACAAAGAACTTGACATTAAAAAAAATCGATTAACTTTCAATGTTTATCGATATTATGTTCCCTATTAATATAGGATTGTGTACAAGGGCTTCAACCCAATCAAAATTTCACCCACATGAATGGTTGATGACTCTTCAGTCGACCTGCTACCTGAATCAAGGTCAGACTAAAACATGTTTTACAGAAATGTATAAAATGGGTTTTCATAATTCGCCCTCCAAGAGATTGATTTCTCTCTTAAAACCTAATGAATTGCCTAAATGGCTCAATGATATACACAAGTGTGTACTTGAACATGAAACTCCACGTGATGCACAAAAGAACACAGTTAGTCTTTGAAATTGCAAAGCAACCTACTACCATCCAACGGACATGCGATTCCTTCCCCTTCCTCTTTGAGCATGTGCTTCTCTTCCACTACAACATGCATTGTCATATCAAATTCCATCAAAGTGCCAATCCAAGATACACAAATTCACACAGATTTCAGTACCAATTTTTTCATCATTTTCTCATCAACCAAACAGAGAAATATAATAAAAACAAGAAAATTCGATTCGATTCAATTCAATTTACCTTACGTAGCAAGAGAAGAGGTTGGTGAATTCGTTCTTCTCATTCTCACTACAAAAAAAGGAAGAGCTAGATCAATGAATCAAGCTCAGATCACACAAAAATCATGAAAATCCAGAAAATTGGATTTTTTGTAAACAAGATCTGTGACATGACAAGAAAATATTATAACCCAAGATCCAATTCCTTCCTTCCAACTAAACTTAAAATTGTGACGCAATTCACTGAGACTCCCTACAAACAAGAACAATCACCCTCCCATCCATCCTCCCTCCTATATCGTTGGTTAACCATCTCTCTCTCTCTCTCTTTCTCTCTCTCTCTCTCTCTCTCTCTCTCTCTCTCTCTCTCTCTTCCCTCTCTCTCCTCTCTCTCTGTCGGTCTGTAATTGTTATTAATTATATATCCTAACACCAAATGCATGAAAAACCAGGACTACAAGACAATAAATAGTCTAGGAAAAGATAAGGCAATTAGCCACTCTCACCCACAAAAACATGTCCATGTACGTTCACATAAATACTCGAAGAAAAACATTCTAAAAGTGGACTAGCTATTTAGTAACTTGAAACTTGATAAACGACTCAACATGTAATGTTAAAAGGCATCCAAATCAGGTAGGAGGTTGGAATACCAACATATTGGTATTGAGATAATAAGGCCTTATCAAATCCCAAACCAGAAATACCCAAGCAAACCAAACCTTATCCCGAATTTGATTTGTACTAGAGGTATGAAACTAAACCTTCTCAAACAAAACAAGCAAAGCCACACCAAATAAAGCAAGAATTTGCTCTTTTCCTCTGCTAATTTCAGTATGTCAAAACCAGAAAAACATCATTATGAGGATTATTCAAAAAGAAGGAAGAGCAATCCAAGTTGCACAACCCAACAATTTGCTCTTTTCCTCTTTTATTTTCCTGATCTATTTTCTTTACGAATGTACCAAAATCACATGCTCATTATAAAACAAAAAAAACAATGTAATGAGAATGCAGGAATGTAAGGAGAAAACTTGTTCTGAAATTGTCATATGGAAATATGTAAGCATAATTTGGCTATCAGTAGAATCCATACCTGAGTGACTACATGTAAACTGAGAAAAGAAGGATGGGTTGACCTCTCTGGATGCTCTTCGATGAACTTCGCCTTAACGGAATCATTCAGCACCTGAAGAAACTGGCAAACACAACTCGCTTTTGATTTTCGAACGCTCGATACATCAACTACGAAAAAGCCAACAACCAAAATGAACCAAACGTGAAAACAACAATTCTAATCTATTTTCCTATTTTTCTGTTATTTTAGGGAAAAATATGTAAAAGCCACAATTTAAAGATAAAGGAGAAAGGGCTTGTTAATACCAAGAACTTGTGCAGTTGGTGTTGCAATAGATCATTGGATTCGTAGAAATCTCAAGCGTTCAAGAACTAATGATGTATGCAAAAGAAATTCAACTGCAAAGATTCAAAATCATAAATTGAAAACAGGGATGAAACAACAACATGCAAATTTTTTAAAACAAAAACCAGATCGAAAAAGAAAGGTAATGTGTTATACTGACAGGGGAACTCGAGCTCCAGAGAATCGATGTTGAGAAGGTCGCCCATGCTTATCGGATTCGATCGATTCGATTGATTTGAAAAATGGTGGAACTCAAATTGAATTGAAAACAAAAATACATATTGGGTGGAGAGATCGAGAGAGAGGGAGAAAGAGATACGATCGATTCGATTGAAAAATGGAGGAATTGGAATCAAACTTGGAATAAACGGTAACATATATTAGACAGAGAGATCGAAATAGGGAGGGAGAGATAAAGCTTGCCGTCAGGGACAAAAGTCGAATGTTATTGCTTGGCCATTCTTATTGGGCTGATTTAAACTTGAACTTTGTACTAACCATTAAATAAACTTGTAACATGATTTTTAGTTAAAACTTAATGTTTTAAAGTTCTTTTGGTTAGGTTTATTTTTATTTTTTATCCAGATCTAAATGCCCCTTTTATTTATTAGTTTTTGGCCGAATTTTTGTTACAGCTCGTCTAGCTAGTTCGTTTCAAAGTAACGCTTTCTCAAATATTGGTTGTATTTTTATGTAACCACTCATGGATATCTGGTTCTATGCTTGCAGTGGCGTTAGAGGAGGAGCCACAGTGGGGTTAATGGGGTCGCACGACCCCTTGGAAGCCATGGAAATAACCTTAGAGGTCCCTTGGAGCTGCTGGTGCGACCCCTTAAAGCTGCTGGTGCGACCTCTTGGAGCTGCTGCATTTTTCTGGGTTTCTTCTGGTTTTCGTTCGGTTTGGCGGAAGAGGAAGACGAAGACGAAGACGTTCTCTCTCTTCCTTTCACACCACGTGACCACACACTCTTCTTATTTAATTTTTTTTCTTAGTTTCTCTCCAATCAAATTTGTACAGCTAGCATCAAATTGCTTGCTTTGTGTAAAAAGCCATAGGCTATCAGTTCGGTTCGTGTGTCAAGTTGAAGATGTCACCATTAAGTCTTGGTGCAGATTGCAAAGTTCCCATGCGTCCACATCCACATATTTGACATAAATTAATGGTAATGATGTGTGTGCCCTTTCCACATCCACATATTTAACAACTTTATTTCTCTTTATATTCAACATAAATTAATATGATGTCTAAAAAATATTATTATGAACCACCATATTGACATCAGAATTTTATGTTTATTATGAACCATCCAACCCAATTTTATGTTTATTTTTGGTTGTCTGGGAAAGTGAAGGCACCTTTTAGTATGGTAACTATCGGCGAGAGGCTGATCACGCTATCCTACTAAGATCCGATGAAATGACGATATGCATGCCGTTTCTGTTAAAAAAAAATTTCGCGCTGCGCGCGCTATCCTTGTTGACCCCCCAAACATTATTTCCTGGATCCGCCACTGAGTGGCGTTGTGATGATCTGTAATACACACACACATATATATACCTATTGGCTTAATTTTTGTCTGATTATAATTGTTTCTTATTAATATGAAAAACTTTATTAGCTCTGCCTTTACTTTGATTATTAGAAATTAGAAGGGTTTTAGTCACTCAAAAATCTGTATTGTTCTTTACATATTAGAGGAAATATACATACATATATATATATATATATATATATATATTCAAATCTGATATTTTACAGAAGAATTCGAGTAGCTATACGGCAATATACCATCACATGAAAAACCTTGAGGAGCTGATAGCGTTTCGGGCTGGGAAACGAGTTTTGAACTAGGGGTGGGCACGGGCCGGGCCGGGCTCAAATTTGAAGAGACCGGACCGGACCCGTTTTAAAATACACCGGGGCGGGCCGAGCCGGGTAGAAGGATTCTAAGATTAGGAACCGGACCTAACCCGACCCGTTTGAAACGGGCCGGTTCGGGACGGGTTCACGGGTCCAAGACGGACGTCTTTGTTTCTTCTGCAAATCCATTACAAATCCACCTTTTTTCTTCCTCCCAATTTCGAATGGACCACCTCTTCTACAACAATAAAAATTCATCCAAATCCACCCTTTCTCTTCCCAATTTCGAATGACCGCCATAACCTCCGGAAAAAAAAACCCAGAAAACCCAAAATCGCAAAATCCCAATCCATATCATAAAAACCCAAAATCGGCAAATCTATGTCGGCTAGGCTTAATCTTCAAACCAGAAGCTTCTGGAAGTTCGGTGATGATGAAGGATGAACGGCAGATAGAGCTGGGTTTGAGAGAGATGAGAGGACGAGTCAGGGAAAGTGAGAGTGGTTTCGTCGACGGCAGCGATGGTCTCGGTGACTTCTGTGAGAGTGGTTTCGTCGAGGAGGAGAAGAGTGGGTGGGAGGGAGTCTCAAGGCGAGCGGGACAACAGTGGGACTGGAGTCTTCTGGACAGTACCATTTAATCCTGAGGCTGGGTTGGGTCTCGAGGCGAGACTTTAAACATTTGAGAGAGACGGAGGGATATCTGCTGCTGCGGCATACAGCTTCACTGCATGTGGAGCTCTGTTTTCAGTGTTTGTACAGATGGGTACTTTGCTCTTTACGGAAAATGGGTAAGGGTATGATGGAAAGAAAGGTGCAATTTGACATGCGTATTTGGAAGGGTACATGTGGAATATGATAGTAGGGGATGGGGTTCGGTAAAGGCAGTGGATAAGATCGGACAAGTGGGAGGACGTGGAAAAGGTGTTGATGACTTAAATTAGAAACGGGCCTTCGGGGCCCCGTTGTTCTAAATATTAGGACCCGGCCCGCCCCTTACATACCATCGTCCCCGCCCCGCCCCGCCCCGTTTAGTATTCAAAAAATTTGGAACCGCCTATTACCCGCCCCGAACCTGCATTACCCACCCCGACCCGCGGTTCCTATACCCGTTTGCCCACCCCTATTTTGAACAATGGTAGAGGGATTAGGTAGGACCCATAAGGGGGGGCCGTTTCCTGTGTGGGACCCAATTTTTTGGTTCTTAAAAGAGCCGTTTACACAGTCACGGTGATACGTGGACATGCAAGCGCGTGAGGTGTCAATTTATTCTTTGATTTTTTAGCTTAATTTGGAAACATAATCACGGGCAGGTGAGCTCATGAAGTTTACGGGCATGTTAGGGTTTATGGTCGGCACATCGTTCTCTGGTCAATCACTATTCATCCCGATTATTTAGATTATCAATAGTCTATATAGCAAAAGACAACAAATGTCAAAGACTAACAGTTCATGTAATTTTATGGATGGTCAATCATTCGTATTTATGTAAATAGTTGATATTCGTTGATTGTTGCTAATTTTATAGTAAATTTCAAGTAAGTTAATTAGGAAAGGGATCATCTTCAGATCCCTTCCACCTAATCAACCAAAGCCACAAATATAGGTCCTTGAAATTTGATTAAACGGCTAAAAACATGAGACTCCATTAAAAGTTATAATAACTTTAGCCGTTAGATCAAATTTCAAGTGCCTGAATTTGTGGCATTGGTGGATTAGGTGGAAGGAATCCAGAAAGTATCCCTTTCCAGTTAATTATTCACTGAATTCGACATTTCTCGCACACATTGCATTCAATGAATTTTTAGATTCAAGAGTGGACACATCCATAACTGTGTATTAAGTGTTCCTAGTGGTAAGCTTACAAACCAAATAGGATTAGGAGTAAGTCTACGAGATAAGAAAAAAAAATATACTAGATTCAACGTTATTGTGGTTTCCTAAATTACTAATAGAAGAATATGTGAGCCATTCTCAGCATCACCAATCGTTATATTAGTATACAGTTTATGGTAAGTAGTGGCAAAAACCTCTTTGATTGGCCATGCCATTTACAATATCAGCACAGACAATTAATGATTCAAACCCCATTAATATACACCCCCACCCTGATTAATATAACCATAAAACATGTCTTCCTTACCCATTAATTTAAAGGAAAACTAATGAAAAGGGTTTGAAAACTTTGAGTTTTAATGATAAGGACAAAATAAAGAGTAAAGTGAATAGTACCAGAATTGACTTTTTAGTGTAAAAATGTGGTTTTTCGTTAAATTGAACAGTACCGGGAGCTTTTCGTTATAGTTCCCATAATTTAATGACCACAAATTGTTACTTTCAACGTTTCTCGGGTAAGTTTTGCATGGCCCTCGTTTCCACAAATAAGTTTTTCTTTTTTTTTTTTTTTTTTTTTTCTAATTTAAGTTTCGCATTTATGAGCGCATCTGTACATTGAATAATTAGTTGACTTACATTAATTCTTTTCTTCCCACCTTGGAAGCAGCCAACGCCAACAGTTCCGACGGCGGCAATGCCATCGCAAACACCAGCATCCCTGCCAAACTCCACCAGCAACAGTAGCAGATCCAGGATTTCAACAAGACTTAAAATAAAAAATCATATGAACCAACAAAGACATAATATATATATATTAGAAATTATTATTTGCACTCTAAAAATATGATTTTTAAAGTATAGATAAAAGTTCTCAGTAAATTACTCAACAATGATCAAATTGTTATAAAAATCATAAACTACATCACAATAATCATATGAATATTTTCATCTAATACACATAAGACCAAAATCATAAAATTTATTTGAAATTCAATATTGTAATGAGGTGTTGATGGAAAGATAGAGGTGGAATAATTGTTTTGGGGTTCCGGGGTAAGGTTTGTATTGGATGGGTAGATTTGGGACTTTGTGCTAATTAAAAGAGGGAATTGCATGAGAACTAGTTGGGCCTCGGGTTTGTAGACAAAAATGAGTTTTAATTTTTTGAATGGCCTGGTTCAAAACGGCACCGTCTAGGCCAGGAGAGATTTTTTAGTGTGATATGTGTGATATGTGTGCTATGTGTGCTATATCACGGGGTGGTACACGGGGTGCTATGAGCTGGTTTGATATTACTGTACTTTGAAAAAAATTTATTTTTGTTGTGCTGTGAGAATAAGCAGTTGTAAAATAAAGCAGTAGAGTGTTTGGTAAACTTTTTCTGTAAAAGTGCTTTTGAAAAAAAAAAGCAGTATTATAGTGTTTGAAAACTTTTATGTAAAACGGATGTGAAAAAAAACTGGTTTTTCAAAGCTGGGTTTTGCAGCTTTGTGTTTTTGGCTTTTTTTACATAAAATTGTAAAAAAAAAGCTGAAGCTAAATGTTTACCAAACATAAAAAAGCTCTCAGCTTTTTTGATAGCCACTTTTTTCAAAATCACCTCAGTATCAAACCAGGGCTATGTGTGATCCGGGGTGGTACACGGGGGTGGTATATCACATGTCACTAAACAAATAGTGAGATATGTGTGCTAAAAAGCTAATAACATAAAAAATAAAATTTCCCACCATTCCTATTAAAACACGTGGTGTATCACTTGTGTTTCCATCACAACTAAAAATTTCTTGAGGCAAGGCCATTAAAAACAATATTAAACTTTCTTCTTCTTCGCTAAATTCTGTTGGGTGTTGCGCTGCAAATTCATGGAGTACCAAAACCAGCACGGAACCAGGCAGTCGGGTGGTCCTCAACGATCTTCACAGATGCTTCTCCAATCTTCCGGAGGGTACCACCCAGGTCCTGTAATGGATCCGTTCCCCGGCAATAGCGACAACAACACTGAACAGAGGGCCCCGCAGTGCCTCGTTCGCGAGCAGGATCGATACATGCCGATAGCCAACGTGATACGCATAATGCGGAGGATATTACCCCCGCATGCAAAAATATCTGACGACGCCAAGGAGACCATGCAGGAGTGTGTGTCCGAGTACATCGCCTTCATAACCGGCGAGGCCAACGAGCGCTGCCAGCCCGAGCAGCGCAAGACTGTCACTGCTGAGGATGTCCTCTGGGCCATGGGAAAGCTCGGGTTTGACAACTACGTCGAACCCCTCACCATTTACCTGCAACGCTACCGGGAGTCCGAGAGTTCCGACCGCTCTCAGTTTGTGAAGAGGGAGGAGCGCCAGCTGATGGACTATTGCCCTCCTGGGCATGCTGGGCCCCAGGTTGCAATGATGCCTCCCCCGCCACCATCTTATGGACCGGGATATTATTTCGGGCCCCAGCATGGTCTTCCCATGTATGACCCCTCGATGATGGGAATGTTTAGGGATGGTTCCTCCTCTGGTGCTGGTGGAGGCGGGTCATCGTCGGCTTCTGGGGTGCAGGGTGAGAACTCGTTGGGGGGATTTGACCCGTTTGGTGACTTCAAATGATCACCACAGTTTAAAGAAAGGTCTCAGCCGTTTAATTAAGAGACGTAATTAATAAATAATTGCATTAGTTTGCAATTAATTAGTAGTTACATAAGTTATTGTAGTTTATCTCTATGTTTTAGCATGGTTGCAAACTGAGTTTGCTTCCTTTGAGTTCAAGGACAAGTTGGTTCCAGTAATGTAATGAATAACTTCATCCCTGAATGTTCATTCCTTGTATTACATGTTCAATCGTTAACTTCATCCTCTGGATGTTCATTCCGTGTATGATATGTTCAATCGTTAATGGAGCTTTCCTATTTTGGATACAAGGAGCAAATAGCTGATTCGGCTTCTGGGGTGTAGGGTGAGAACTCGTTGGGGGGATTTGACCCGTTTGTTCACTTCAAATGATCACCACAGTTTAAAGAAAGGTCTCAGCTGTTTAATTAACAGACTTAATGAATAAATAATTGCATTAATGATTGAATCTGTGTTGGGAAAGCTTGATGGGATCAAGAGTGCAACAGTGTCGCCCATTGAAGGCCAAGCTGCAGTCAATTATATACCAGAGCTCATTAATATGAGTGAAGTTTTAGGACTTCTCTAAGATGCTATTTTTCCGCCTTTCTTCAAAAAACTCATCTTTTAAAAAAATTTCAATAACATTTTTTAGACGCGATTACCAAACCAAAGTTTTTCAATAGTGCATTGGTATGCCTTGTGGGCACTTAGCATATGATGTTTTTTATGTTAGGCAAGAAAAATTAAGGAAGCTGTAGAAGATGCTGGTTTCCCTGTTTCTGAATATCCACAACAAGATGTAGCTGTATGCCGACTGAGGATAAAAGAAATGGCATGCACCAGCTGCTCCGAGTCAGTTGAGTGCGCTCTTTGAATGGTCGATGGAGTGAAAAATGCAGTTGTTGGTCTAGCCCTTGAAGAAACAAAGGTTCACTTTGATCCCAACCTCACTGATACTAGTTGCATTATTCAAGCAATTGAAGATGCTGGCCTTGGGGCTGAACTGGTTAGTTCGGGGAATGATGTCAACAAACTTCATCTAAAACTTGAAGGAGTTGATTCTCCAGAGGATATGACTATTGTCCAATCCTTCGTTGAATCAGTTGAAGGAGTAAGTAATGTTGAAGTGGACTTGGCAGGGAAGAAGGTGACTATTACCTATGATTCAGACCTCATAGGTCCAACATCTCTTATACGTTGTATTGAAGAAGCTGGCCGTGAATCCAAGGTGTACCAGGCAAACTTGTATGTTCCTCCAAGACCAAGAAAAGCTGAGCGGAAACATGAGATTCAGATGTACAGGAACCAGTTTTTCCTTAGCTGCCTATTTTCGGTTCCTATATTTTTATTCTCAATGGTGCTTCCGATGCTTCCTCCTTATGGAAACAAGGTTCACAATATGCTCACTGTAGGGATGCTTTTAAGACGGATTCTTTGCACACCAGTGCAGTTCATTGTTGGCCGGAGGTATTTAATTTGTATATTTCTATTCTTCTTGTTCTTGTCATGAGTTTTGTAGCAACAACTTGTGAATAAATTACTTAAAGGAGCAAATACTAAATATTGATTTTGGATGTCCTGTCAGGTTCTATGTTGGATCATATCATGTGTTGAGACGTAGATCAGCTAATATGGACACCATGTATTATGACAATTTTCAATTGCATGATTATTCTTTTTTTCTTTCCTACATCAGGTTGTCATTGTCGCATTTTTGACATGGCTTGGATGGTTCATCCCTGTAGAATTTGGTCTTTTTTCCGGAAAACTGGATACCAAAAGGCATGGATAAATTTGAGCTGGCATTACAATTCGGTATCTCAGTATTAGTGGTTGCTTGCCCTTGTGCCTTGGGACTAGCAGCCCCTACGGCAGTAATGGTTGCAACAGGGAAGGGTGCTTTGCAAGGTGTTCTTATCAAGGGTGGAAATGCACACCAAAAGGCTCATAAGGTAAGACCACCTTATCTTGGGAAACAAATTGCTTTTCAATTCAGAATCTGGGTTTTCAACTTTTCATGCATTTTATTTTCATGTTTTTTTTTCTAGTGTAGCATCATTATACTTGTTCCTACTTACTTTTCCTTCTGAGGACGTCGAAAACCTGTTTGTTTTGGTATTAGGAAAAGACAATTACTTATTAGACACTATCCATATGTCTGAGGGTGCAAGTGTAGTCCGTTTACTCGTCTTTCCTTTGTTATGAAGTTGCTCTCCTCGTATTGGTCTGGTCATTTTGTATTATGACCTATGCTACCAACGTAGTTTATGTTGATGTTCCGTAATATAACAAGTTATGCACTTCATTTCTGACCAGTGAAATGCTCTGCCTCCGTTCTGTCAACGTTTAGGCTCTTGACATAAAACTAAATGCAATCTATGTCATTGGGTATGAAGGATTTTCTCTCTGTATGTATTGGGATTGAACATGCAACTATCATTTCATAGTTGGAATCTGTCTCATATGACTCTTTGGTTCTGGACGATTGGTGGCTGTATGCACCTTGTCCATGTCAGCAAGCCATACTCGCCAAGTTTTAGATCCCCGTTTCTTGTAGATAACAGCTCTCACTGAGGGAGAGTTCTCCCCAACTCCTTTTCTGATAACAAGGTTAATAATTGTTTCGTTTTTTTGTTTTTTTTTTCCTTTCTAAAATGAAAAGTTGAACAAATGGTACCTAAGTCATGAAGGTTGATACATTTTTTAGCATTTGACACTTTATTGATGTCTGGACGTTTACTGACATGTGTTTGATCCTTACAGGTGAAAACGATTGTTTTTGATAAAACAGGGACTCTAACAGTTGGGAAACCCTGTTGAATTGTAATCTTGTCTTGGCCCAAGACAATGGATCTAGCCCATGTTGAAATTGGCAACACAAGCATAATGGATGATTCATGCAAATGCTAGAGAATTCTAGCAAAGTTCAAGTTGGTGGAAGAGTCTAGAAGAATGGTGAGGATTCCACCAACATACAAGATTAGTGTAGATAATTCTAGCTTAGGAAGGTAGTGGAATTATCTAGATATCTCTAGCCTGATGTTTCCATGTTTCTCCAAGGTTTCATCCATGCCTATAAAAGGAGAAGGCATACACACCATTTAAAATAACCAAGAAAGCAAGTAGTGAGAAGTGAGAAGAAGCAACAAAGCTTCTAAGAGTGTTTGAGTGTTTCCTCTTGTTCTAAGTTTGTGAGTGAATAAAAATTTTGTGTAATACTTTGAGTATTCTTTCTTTCTCTTGCCTATCAATTCCGTTGCATTACATTCTTCTTTGTGAGATAAACATCTTCAAAGTAGTGAAGTCTTTTTAAGCCCCAACAAAGTGGTACCAGAGCTATGGCTAGCAATGCTATGGCAGCCTTCCAAGTTCCAGTGCTCGACAACAACAACTTCGATAATTGGAGAATCAAAATGAAGGCCCTTTTAGGAGCACACGATGTATGGGAAGTCGTGGAGAAAGGCTACACTGAGCCAGAAGATGAAGCTACTCTGTCCCAACCCTAGAAGGAGAGTTTGAAAGATTCAAGAAAGAGAAACAAGAAGGCTTTCTACTTCATCTACCAAGCATTAGATGACAATGGCTTTGAGAAGGTCTCAAGTGCAACCTCTGCCAAGCAATCATGGGAGAAGCTTCAAACCTCTTTCAAAGGAGCCGAACAAGTGAAAAAGGTTCGTCTTTAAGTACTAAGAGGTGAGTTCGAATCTCTACAAATGAAAGGGTCTGAATCAATCTCTGATTATTTTTCAAGAGTCTTAGCCGTTTCCAATCAATTAAAAAGAAACGGAGAAAAGTTAGAAGATGTTAGAATTATGGAGAAGATACTACGCTCGTTGGACCCCAAGTTCGAGCACATTGTCGTGACGATTGAAGAAACTAAAAACTTGGAAGAAATCATTATAGAGCAATTAATGGGTTCGCTACAAGCATATGAAGAGAAACATAAAAAGAGGCAAGGGAATGATGAGCAGCTCCTCAAGACGCATGTTCAGCCAAAGAAGAAAGAAGAAAGCTTCGATAACGAGAGAAGCCAGTACGAAAGAAGTGGTGGTCGAGGACGCGGACGTGGACATGGACGTGGACGTGGTTGGAACTTCAACAACCATAACAACTACGAAAGAAGAGGAAGCTCAACAAAAGGTCGTGGAAGAGGACGCTCAAACTTGAGGTTTGAAAAATCTCAAGTTCAATGCTACAACTGTCAAAAGCTTGGGCATTATGCTTGGAATGTAGAGCTCCAAGCAACAGGCTTGATGAGAAGGTCAATTATGTGAAAGAAGAGAAAGAAGATAATGGCGTTGTGCTACTAGCATGCAAGAGCAATGATGGAGACCAAGACTATACATGGTACCTTGACACCGGCGCCAACAACCACATGTGCGGAAGAAGAAGCATGTTCGTAGAGCTCAATGAATCAGTGAGTGGCAACATTTCTTTTGGAGACGAATCCAAAATACCCGTCAAAGGAAAAGGTAACATCCTAATTCTCCTTAAAAATGGCGGTCACCAATTAATTTCAAATGTCTACTACGTGCCCAATATGAAAAGCAACATTTTAAGCTTGGGACAACTCTTAGAAAAAGGTTATGATATTCACATGAAAAATTATAGCCTTTTTCTTAGAGATGACAAAGGAAGATTAATTGCCAAGGTGAAAATGTCAAAGAATAGGATGTGTTTCCTATGAATATTCAAAATGATGTTGCAAAGTGCCTCAAAACATGTTACAAAGACACATCATGGCTTTGGCATCTTCGTTTTAGGCATCTTAACTGTGGGGGACTGGAGTTATTATCCAAGAAGGAGATGGTGAGAGGCTTACCGTGCATCAGTCGCCCTGATCAAGCTTGCGAATGATTTTTACTTGGGAAACATTTCAGGAAAAGCTTTCCAAAGGAGTCGATCACAAGAGCCCAGAAGCCACTCGAGCTCATTCACATCGATGTGTGCGGTCCAATAAAACCAAGCTCTTTAGGTAAAAATAATTATTTCCTTCTCTTCATTGATGATTTTTCAAGGAAAACCTGGGTATATTTCTTGAAGCAGAAATCATAAGTCTTTGGAGCATTCAAGAAGTTCAAAGCTACTGTAGAGAAAGAAAGTGGTTGCAAGATCAAAGCCATGAGATCTGATCGAGGAGGAGAATTCACTTCGAAGGAATTTCAAGAATTCTGTGAAGCCAATGGAATCGTCGACCTTTG